CATATAATATATGTTGGGTCTAGATCTCCTAGCAATCTCCCCACATCCCTCCCACTGGCTTAGGGTTAGGTTGGGTTTCTTGTCCTGGGAGATGGAGCCAGCTAAGTGCTGGTTCTTGGCACCACCTTGTGATCACATCTAGATATTGCACATTCCACATAATTCCACAAATGAAAGAAGGAAACCGACATTTACACAACCCAGTCCTAGCTCCCAATCCCAGTTCTGCCTCTTTTAACAGTGCAATCACAGACAAGCTGATCACCTTGAAATGGCCAACATAAAGTGTTTGCACTGCCTACTGTAATAATCGCAAACGGAAGATATGTATACATAGGATCAAAGACTGGAATGAATGTAGAAAAATAACAAATAGAGATGATAGTTTTTTTCATCTTATAATTTTACTATAAAAAAACAAGAAATCATCAAAGTGAAAGGGGTGGAGGGCAGGGAAGCCTACAAACCATTCGGAGGTACCAACTCAACTCAATTTCAGGCTGTGATCTCAGCTGCTTGGTCCAAAGTACCAGACAATCTGAGAAGACTCTGGCACCACCTATGAAGTCTGTTTCTGAACCTGATTGTGTTTCACTGACTGGGGGTGGGGATGGGGGTGGGGGTGGGGATTGATTCCAAGGCAATACCAAGCTGACTTCGGCTAGAAAAGAAGCATTACTTTCTCAAACCCCAACATCCTTACCAACAATTCATTCCAACCACCTCAAAGATTTCCTAAATGGGGAACATCAAGGCCTCTGATAATGAAGGATGCCATCAACCTCACCTCAGAATCAGTGGGCACTCAGTCAAAGAGCAAGTGCAGAGCCTGGCTCCTCCAGCCCCAACCTGCTGCCTCAGACCCTCCGGTGATTTGGAAGCACATGCCCCATAGCAATCAGATGATCTATTACGTACAGCATTTAACTGAATGAACTGACCCCAAAGTTCCTCTCCTGGCCCTCTACTACGTAAACACAATTTATAGGGTACATAAAAGTGGATTTTAGAAAAACCACATACAAACTGAATCTGCCAAAAGCTACAGCCTCAGAAAGGAAAAGAATGTATGCATCAACTTATATACATCAACTGGTTCCTAAATTTGACAGTGCATCAGAATCACCTGGGAAAACCTTTTAAAACTGCCACCTGGTAATCCCATGCTAGACCTCTAAACACCGCCCCTCCACCAGCCGGGCTCCCAGGGGATTGATTCTGCAGAGCCAGCTTGCGGGCTGGGAACCTTTGTTAGTCTGTGCTCTTTGCCAAGGAAATTCAGGCTGTTAGGTTAGCAAGTTAAACAATATGGCTGGCAAATGAAATAGCAAGTGGTTCCGGGTATGGTTTAAGTCAAAGGTTTAAGTCAAACTATAAACGCTAACCCAAGTCGTGCCAGCAGCAGACAAAAGCTTTTTTGGAAGTGCGTCCTCTCACTCAGGATGTAACCTGACCTACACCCCAAGCCCCAAGTCCAACACAAGCAATGCTGACTGCTGCTGGGGAAAGAAGCAAGAGGAGTAACATTTGTTTATGTTCTGTCTCAAGGTGGGCAAACAGCTGGCATGAATGCTGCTGCTTCCCCCTGCAGCCCCCTTGCCCGATGCAGACATCACTCATGGACCGCAGGTGGCACTCTTTCCCAGGGAACCCAAACAGGACCTCAATCTCCCCATGAACAGACTACCAGTGCCCAGCATGGGAGCTGGCTGATGGGGTGGGGGCTTGTGCCCTCCCTGTCCTGAAGCAGACAGCTTAGAAACTGTGCCTCTGCAGACCACTGCCACCACACCAGTAACCAAAGCAATCCAAACAAGACCCCTAAAGAAACAATGTACCTCCAAGGAAAGCAAGTATTTTCCTTTTCAATGGCGCAAAAGTTTTGGACAAATGTGGAAAGTGTTAAACCTGCTCTTAAGGTCCATATCAACACACCTGAACTAGCCAAGAGACACGGCCCTGTGCTGGGATGAACCTCCTGCACAGTCCTCAAATACCCAGTCTGAATTCATTATTCCCTTCACACTGGTTAGGGCCTCTCTGTGTCCATGTCCCCTAAAAGACTGCAAGTTCTTTACTGAAAACCCTAGAAGCCAGTCCTAGAATGAGGACACGCATTCATGCAGTGAGAGCCAAGACCAAGCAATAGCAGTTGACCTGTCTCAACTGGGAACTAAGAACAACAGAGGCAGCAAGGACCGCTGATCTTTGATCACTTTGAGGGGAAAGGTGCACATATGGAATGTTTGGTCTTCTAGGCCACTCTGGGCTGTCCCAGCTATACAAACTGGACAACATAAGTGACATGTAAGTGCTCATCAGAGACACACATCACTCAAACACTGAAAGTGTGTTATTTCTATTAAGGCTTCACTTAGCTCCTAGAGCTCCCAGACCCAAGCTTTCCAAAGCAGCAATACATTTTAAGAGCTAAACTCATTACTAAGAGACATACCCTAATGGAAACTTTGGTACCACAAAACTAAAATTGAAAAATAATGGATGTTTTGTAAGATCTGCATACCACTTACATTTAAGAACTGACAGAATACTCACTTCTAAGAAGTAGCTCATTCATCCTGGCACACTATCAGAGGTATGAAAATCAGGGAACTGACGACACAGCCTCTAAATTCAGTTTAGTGCAGAGAAGGAAGCAGAATAAAAATGTGGGAAAGGGAAAATACATGGGAAGTTTAATAAATGATTAAAACTTCAGAGACTGATCTAAGGTCTTGAGCTATATCAGATAATAGGATCTAAGTGCTATTATCCAGTTCCAGAAAAGGTTAAGCTGTAATAGAGAAAGCCTGGTAGAAGATTCTCACTGAGCATTAGTTAAAAACAAAGATCCTAGTTAGGACTAACCTAGGGCTGATGAAAGACCTATGACTCTCAAGTTGAGAGAATAAAGATCAGATGTATAGGAGTTACCCAGTTTCACATCAAAGAGTTCAGAACAACATTATAATTAATGTATAATACATATTTAAATTCAAAAAAGATGCCTAGCCTGAGTACATATTCCAAAATTCTAACCGTTAAGAAAAACTCATTTTCTATGTTGTAAACTATATGGAGCTTTATTCTGATCATCCATCATCAAACCACTGCTAAGATAAGAAATCCTAAAGTCTTTTTCTTCACCCAAGAGAATGCCATTACAATTTCAATCTGTCTACAAAGATCAACAAGAAGTAACAAAATATAAAGAGTGACTGGCAGTTTTAAACTGTTCTTAATCTACTTCTCAATCCTGAGCATTTTATTTTCTTTTTACATCCTCCAATCCAAAGAGTACCAGAGAAGATGTAGTACAAACATTTCAATGTGGGTATCTACAGTCTAACAGCCTTGATAACTATAGCTATAAAATTTTAAAGAGCTATAGGATTTGGTGGCAATTCGAGTTATTGATATTTTTGAAATTCATTTGAGATTTTACTGTAACTTTAGCAAAAAAATTGACTTATGAAATTGCTTTGGAAATAATAAACTGTTTTACAATCTTAACATTATTAAGAAAAACTTAAAATTTAAACTAAAGCCATATTTAAAATTCAATCAAAATAAATTGCTCTTGATCAAAATACTGATATATTTATACTTAATATTGACCCAATTTAATGGGAAGAATATATTGCTCTATTTATAATCAATATGTTGAGATTAACACTTTTATTAATTCTCTATAGTAGTTAAGGAAAAAACTGATACCGCTCACTGTTCAAGAATATTGAGCAGAATCCCTCAAAAAGTTTCAGATATTAAACATGCAAAATAACTTTGAAGTTGTAATGAGAAGTGGCAAACTTAAGCCACTCCTCAACCACGTATTACTACACTACAATGTGAATGTAACAGCTCTCTAACAACTGGATTTAGATCATAGGTCCTCAAATTATTTGTGAAAAGAACTATGCTGCATCTTCTTTAAAAGGTTACAGAACATATATGGCAGTTGATGTGGATCATCAGCAGTTAAGTAACAAAAGAAAAAGTATCAGATCAATATCAGGTCAGTGGAAAGCTAAAAGAAACACAATAAACTAGATCTCCATATGTTCAGAAACAAGACAAACCTGTTGAGGATTGGGGACAAGCCATCCCAGGAGAAAATATTTAAAAAGCCACCTATTAAACAGCTTTCTTTATTCCTGTGAGTTTCTTAGTGCTCTTGGTAAGCTCAAGTGTAAGACTGAAGATGTGGCAGTGCTGTGCAGGGGTGGGGGGGAACAAGGTGGAGAAACCTGCTCACACCCTGTCCGGCTCACAGAAGGTATGTGGCAGCAAGCAGTGCTGACTCTACAAGCGACGCATTCACCTTCTTGTCTTACATCTTACTTGCATCATACATAGACAAAGCCACAGAAATAAAAGCCAAAGGAAGTCTCTAGCACAAAAAAATGAGTGAACAACAAAGGTGTGCTGTGCGTACGAAGCCCATTTCTGGCATGAGAGAGGTTTATAATTCTGTGGATAACTACTTTTTCAAGACAAGGAAGGAGGATTTAAGAAAGCAAGCTTATTCTTTCATATGCTAAAGCTTAAATCTCAGCTCTTATTTGAAGGAAGTCCTCTAAAATTACTTTCCTGATTCAAAAGAAATAACAAAACCCCCAAACACACGCTCCATAAGTGAGCCTTTTCCTTCTGCTGACCCGTCGCAGGGCGGCCACTCTCAGTGTACAGGCCCAGGATACAGCCCATGCTTCAGGCCTCCACACTGCCTCTTGCCTCTGCCCTTCCCCCAGACTCTTCTTCTTGGATTTGCCCCCAGATCTGAGTGAAGACCCAGAAGTAGAAGCATCTGGGGTCAGCTTCATCGAGGACTCAGGGGCTCTGGGGTTCTTGTAGGCTAAAGCTGCAGGAAGTCCAACCTTTGGATAAATGAGGATCTAACATACTAAGCTGGATCTAGAACTCCTGTTTAGTAATAAACCTGCAGGCTGAGATAAAAAGCAAACAGTACAATCTTCTCATTATCTCTGCAGACTGACCTTAACCGCTGCTTGAAATAATCTTCGTCTCCATCGTCTCGGCATCTCACTACTTTCCGACCGCCTCTTCCTCCTGTGGTGGCTTCAGCTTCTTCCCCAGAACTTGGAAAAAAGTCATCATCAATATCTTGCACTTTGACTTTCTTCTGCCACTTCCACCGTTCCGAGTCAGTGCCATCTGACAGGTCAGCCTCCGCCACCTCCCGCTCCTCTTCCTCGGTGGGAAAATACTCAGACTCTTCACTCTCCGAGTCTGCTTCAGCCTGTCGCCTCACATCAGACTCCAAGGGCTTCTTTCCCTTCCGCAATCCCACTTTCCCCTGGAGCTGAAGAGCTCTCTTCTGGAGCTTCTTGATGTGCTTTTTTAAGCGCTTATCTGTTTTTGAGGGAACTTTGCTTCTCTGGTTTGGTTTGTTTTCATTGAGCATTGGACTGAGCTCAGAAGTCACCGAGGCTGGAGTTTTTCTAGCTGCCCTTTTGTTACAAGCTTGCTTTTTCCTTTCAAAAGACCATTTTGCTTGATCTGCCAAATACTTTTCGAAGCCTGACACTTCATTGAGCATTAGTTTTCTAGGCTTGTTCTCCTGCTTCTGAGGGATCTGGGTCCCAAAAGGTGTCATCTGGCCAGTGCGGATGAGCTCTTCCCAAGCAGCCTCCTGAACAGGCATGAGCATGCTGCCAAGGCAGGACGGCCCCGCTTCTGAAACAGGAACGACAATGCACAGGGCAGGCATGTGAAACTTTCCAGGGAACAACAGATTCATTCAGTACACAGTAGGTACATACAAATAACTCATATTAAAAAGTACCAATGTACTAAAGCATATTATCTATGAAGAACAGAGTAAAATTTATTATAGTATTCATTATGTTGCCTTTAATATACTCCTGCTCAAAAAGGTGATTTCTCAATAACTTTTTCTAAAATATGGCATTATAAATATATTCTCTCTGTGTGCATCCAAAGACAGACCTAGTCATATGTAACATACAGAGAGACAAATTTAGCTGTGTTTCCCTATCAATTAAAGCAATCTCCCAAGTGTCCACGTCATTGTTAACACCAGCATTCAGGTGGAGTTAAACTTAAGATACAGTAAACTGAAAACAGACATCTGAAGAGTCAGCATGCACCTAAATAGGTAAAACAAATGTTAGATCTGCACTGCCCAATATGACCGTTGCCATGGGACTACTGAAACTGAAGTTGAAAATTCAGTTCCTCAGGTGCACCTGCCATATTTCAAGCGCTCAACAGCCACATGTGGCTAAGGGCCACCATAACAGACAACAGAGACAGACATTTCCATCTTGCAAAAGGTCTACTGGACAGCACTGTGTTAGGTGTGTGAAGTTAACTGGCTAAAGAGATGGACTAAAATTGGAAGTTATGCCAAAGTAATATAAAGTCACCCAGAAATCATCCCTCTTCCATTAGTTAAAACTAATTTCTGGCAAGATTACTTACCCTTTTGCCAAAAATACCAAAACAAGTAAGGAATCATATTCTTAAATCTATGTTTCTTATAGGCCAGTAATAACAGGGCCAGTTTCTCATTAAACATGCACTGAAAAAATACTTCAGAAAGTACACAAATCCTGAAAGTACAGCTCAATGAATTTTCAGAAAATAAACAGACCCGTACACCAGCATGCAGATCAAAAAACAGAAATTACCAGCACCCTACATGCACCCTTCTTGGTGCCTCCAAGCCTCTACCCCACCCCAAGATAATGACCTGACTATTAACATTATAGATGGGCTGTACCTAACTTTGAACTTTATATAAATGGAAATGTTCATATTCTTGTGTCTGGCTTCTTTTACTCAACATTATGTTGGCAAGATTCATACTTGTTGAATAAACAGTTACAGTTTGTTGAATCTCGTGGCTGATAGCATTCTATAACTACACTACAATCTTTCATTTCCGTTCCAAAGTTAATGGACATTTGGGTAGTTCCCAGGTTTTGGCTACTAGAAATAGTGTTGCTATGAATATTCTGGTATACATCCTTTGGTAATATATGTATATAATTCTCTGGATATGTTAAGCTTTAGTAGACATTGCACAACAGTTTTCCAAAATGGTTCTATCAATTTTAAGTTCCACCAACAGGGTCTGAGAGTTTCAACTCGTCCCCATTCTTGCCATTCCATTTCAGTTATGCCGGCAGACATGTAGCCGCATTACTTTATAGTGTAATTTGTATTTTCCTGGTGACTAATGAACTATGGTATCTTTTCATAGATTTACTGATCTTTTGAATAGCTTCTTTTGAAGAAAATGTTCAAGTCTTTTGCCCATTTTTCTCACAGGCAGTCTGCCTTTAAAAAAAACTTTTTTTAGGCGTTCTTTATACATTCTGGGTTTGAGTCCTTTGATTGAAATGTCTTCTCCCACTCTGCAGTTTGCCTCTCATCCTCTTTTGACATACAGAATGTCTTAGCTGTAATATAGTTCATTTATCAGACCTTTTCCCTAACAGTGAACATTTCTGTGTCTCATTAAGCCTTTGCCCCAAGATCATGAAAATGTTTTCCTATGTTATATTGTAAAAGCTTTGTTCTACCACTCACACTCAGATCTACAATCCATTTGAAATTTATTTTTGTAATGGTGTAATAAGCCAAGATTCATTTTATCTTCATGTGGATTAACTTAGCACACTTATTAAAAAGATGATTCTTCTCCACAGCACTGCACTGCTGCATCTGTCATAAATCAAGTGACCAAGACCCATGGATGCATCTGTTTGCTGGACCCTCCATTCTGTTCCATTGGTCTGTCTATCTCTCCTTGTGCCACTACCAGTCATTTAATTACTAGAGCTTGGTAACAGGTCTTGATATTTTGTTCTTCAAGATTGCCTTAACTAACTATTCTAAGCCCAGTGTATTTATGTATAAATTTTAGAGTCGGTTTGTTAATGCCTTCTACCCTCAACCTACACTTCCCATCCCACACCCTCTCCCTTACCACCCCCCCCAAATTGATAATGGGGTTGCATTGAAATGATAGATGGGAAGAACTGAAATCATTACATTACTGTATCTTCTGATCCATTACCACAGTGTGTCTCCCCATTTACTGAAGTCTTTTTTAATTCTTCAATAATATTTTCTAGTTTTTAGTGTAGAAAGCATTGCAGGAAACTAGATTTTTTGCTAAGATTTATTTCTAGGTATTTGATTTTGATTATAACTGGCATCTTTATTAAATTTTATTTTTTGTTTTTGCTGGTATATAGAAATATAACCAATTTTTATATACTGGCCTTACATTTATATTGCTAAATTCACATATTAATTCCAATAAATTATCCACTGACTCTTTTGGATTTTCTACATAAACAATCATGTATTCTCTGAATAATAATGGTTTATTTCCTCATTTCAATCCTTACGCTTTTTATTTTTCTTCCATTACTACACTGTCCAGTACAATATTTAATAGAAAAGGAGATAGTGAGCAACTCATCTCATCCCAGATCAGAGGAGTAAAGCCAACTGTTGCAAAGTGTATCCTACCTACTTCTAGGAAAGGATTCTTTATCAGAGAATCCTCACAACAACCTCTGAAATGGAGAATGGGAAAGGAAACCTCAGGGAAGCATGTGAGCAGAGATGAAGGCCTGTCTCACAGGTTCAAAACAGATTTGGACGTTGCAGCCAACGTCTAAGCCTAGGCAACAGGGCTGGGGCGCACCAAGCCTGAGCTCCTAGACACTCTGCTCGCTTCCTCTCCAAAAAGGGCACAGGGACAGGGTGGAGGAAGGCGGTCAGAGACCACGAACTGATGCCCCAGTGGAGAGATATAATAGGAACTGGGAGCTCAGAAAAAAGGCAAGGCTATAGGTTTACAGATTTGTAAGATGCTAGAACCTAGGTTGTCCCCAAAAGCCCTCGGGAATGAACAAGATTACTCGGGGAGAGGTCCAACAACAGGGATCAGCAAGAAATCCTGAGAATAATCAACATTTAAGATAAATCCAGAGAAGCTGGCCAAAGGTAACTCAACAGAAATGGTCAGAGAACCAGAAGGAATACCATGAGACAGGGGTCCCAGAAGGCACAGAAGTATCAGTTGCTGAAACAGGCCAAATGGAGCAAGGGTGCAAAGAGGCTTTTGGATTTGGAGAAATAACTATCAATCCTGGGCAACATTTTACCAAAGAAGCAACAGGAGGTAAAAGATGGCAGGAGGTTTCAGGCAGCCAGACAAGAACAAAAATCTGTTACAATGAAAAATATGGTGCCTCAGCAGCACAAAGCACCAGCCATACGTCCAATGAATTTCTGAGAGACTGAACTTTAAAAGCACTAATATTTTTTCTATTGCCTCAATTAATTCTTCATAATACTCTTGTCTTATTGAATAAATTTCTGGAGCTAGTAGAAAATATCTGCTTGAAGAGCTTAAATGCTAAAAGCCTTAATCTATGTTTCAAGTAGTAAATGACTAAACAGCTACCAATAATTTCTAAACATACACATATATATATATACACTGACTACAGAGATTTCGTTTCAGAGCTTATGCATTTTCCCAAAAGACGCCCATTCAAGGCAGTGATATAAACATCATGCCACAGTATAACCGAAATGAAGGTGTCTTTTCTTAAATAACAGAATTGATGCTTGGAAAGCCTGCCAAATGTCTCAAAAATATATGTGAAAGCAATTCTATGAATGCTGATTGACAATGCTGGGCTTACAAAATGTCATTCAATCAAGATGTTAGCTGTCTTTATGAAATTATATAAGAATTTAAGATTTCTGATTTATTAAACATAACAATAAATGTGTGCCAACAGCCAGTAGTAGACTGAGTTAAAAACTTACTTTCATTCTCTAAAATCCCCAAGTGACTTAAAAAGGATTTGGTTCTGCAGGTGTAGAAATGTACATTTCTCAGAACCCCGGTCAGGACTGAGGAGAAACCCTTCACTGACAACAGGCATCATCAGTTCAAGAACACAGAGACACCATTCCCAGTATGCTCACCTGCATCCTCCTCCAGGCTGGCGTGATCTAGTTCAACTTTTACCTCCACTCCTCCGAGGATGGCCTGCAGACGTTTTTGTTTTGCTGTGATCTTCTTTAGCTGCTGCTCCTTAAATGGTAAATATTGAATACAGAAAACAGCAATGAAGTGATTTACGGTTAAATACAAAAGACAGCATTACAAAATTTAAAAACTTTAATCAAGAGCAATATAAAAATAAGACAGAAATTCCATATATTACAATTACTATAGAGAACCTTATTTGAGCAACTGCCATTTTTCTAGCAGGAAGCAGGCCGCGAAGCATTTCCTTCAGGCAGGTATCTATGTTCCCACCTGCTCCCCTGACTGGGCAGCACACAGCTTTCCATGTGCTGGGCACTGATGTTCTCATGTACTGGCTCTGCTGATTTGGGAGGAGGAACTGCTTATTTGGTTCCCCCATTACAGCTGGTAAATCACCACACTTCTCTGTGTTTCTGACCTTAGAGCCAATGGGCTATGAGCTCAATAGGCTGTAGGGATAAGAAACAGAAACAGGAATGTTCAAAAGTTGAAAAGATCAGTCTCCCTTGATAACCTACCATATTTACGCTTGTCCTTTACAGTATTCCACCCAATCACAAAATTTTAAAACAAACATATATTTTGGTATATCCTTTTACCTCACTCACCCAGACTCCTCTTTGACTTGTCATCCTCTCCATTACCAGAGCTCAGATATGGGGCCATTCCTAGGGTCTCCCCAATTAACTAGGCCTGTGGTACCTAGCTCTTCTTAAGGTCAAGAATATTTGAATACCAAATATGCGTGTGGGGCAAGGAGAAATCCTGAATATAAAGGCCATGTTATAATGGCTTGTTCATTCATTTTTCTCTTCCAATTTTTCTCAGCAAAATCTCATTGAAAACAGCCTTTCTCTCTGAACAGTCTATCGCCAAACATCAAAGAGCTGCTAAAGAAAGATAGCCATCTAGAACTGAGTTGGACTACTGCCGAAAGCAGCTTAGTTTGATCTTCTCCTCTCCCTTCAACCCCAGCCCACCAGAAGTCCAGAAAGTCAGAAAAGGTCTCTGCACATTAACTCACATGCTCCCACAAGCAACCAGATGCCCCCTCTCAGATCTGAGGAGACTCCAGCTGCCTCAAGCCACTGTTAGCTGTGTTTCGGGCTGCTATTCTAGAGGTAAGTGACAGAATATGGGGTGGTGAAGATAATGGAACTGGTGAGTGGATTGCAAGAGATGGAACTGAGCCTCTACACACCCCGCTAGTGGAGCTTAAATAAAAGATGCAAAGACTCTACTCAAACAACTACAAGCACAAGGACATTTAACAGAAACAAAATGATCAAAACTCAAAACTAGTCATTCCTCTATCTATGCCATGTATTTTCATAAAGCATACATAAATTCTACAGTGTTTCAAACCTCATGAAAACAGTTATCAGTAACAGATATTCCCTACCCTTAAGTTCTACAACTTGAAGTGCAGACCCAGTGTGGCTGAGTGATGACTGTAACACCTAAAGCCAGCCTCTCAGCAAGTGAGCATGAGCGTATGAGGGATGATGGCTGTATCAACAGGAAGTAGACTGCAAACAATCAGAGCAGGCAGGAGCTAAGAAGGAGAAAGAGTTCACACAAGACGAGGCAACGGAGTGGAGGCTGGCATACCCAGGAGTCTTAGCTGACTAGAAGAAGGCGGTGAAGCTAAACAGACTATGAAAGCACACAGGTGAGGAGGCACGCAAACCCAAAAGAAGAACTTTTTCTCAAATATGTATGTGGGAGCATGTGTGTGTGTGGTGTTTTTTTTAAAAATACTCTTTAATAGAGGATGTTAAAGAGAAACAGCTGAAAAATTAAACATACGAAAGGAATTCAAAATTTTCTATTAGAAACATCTGCTTCCTATTTTACTTCCTAAATATTAAATGAGCTTAAATGATGACTTTTTCAAAAATGCAATACTTAACGTGTTATTTGGAATCACCTTATTATACTTCTGCCGTTTTACAGAATCTAGTTTCCTGCTGATGTCTCTGCTGGTGGCAGCTTGAGGACTAAGTTGTTCAATAATTTTATTGATTTGCCTTAGGGATGTTGTACATGACCTGAAAAATAAGATAAAATGTCTATTTTCCATTCTGGTAACATTTTTTTATAGTACAATATAGAGAAATACTAACAACATGTACCTTTTATTTATTAACTAAAAGATAAAAGAAACTAAACCAGAATGCATATTCTTGTTGTCCACGAACAGAACCTGAAGAATTATTAGAAGTTTAAGATGACTACTAGTGTTTTATCTGACTTATTTAAATCAGCTCAGGGCCGGCCGAGTGGCTCAGTTGGTTAAGAGCTTGCTCAAGAGTTTGAGCTCTGAGCAACAACAGTTCGATTCCCAGCCTGAGCTGAGCAGCTGCTGAGCTGCCAACAGGTGGCAGGATGGCTCAGCTTAAAAAAATCAATCAATCAATCAATCAATCAATCAATCAATCAATCAGCTCATTCCCCTTTGTAAGCTACATACTTCATTCATTCTACAAGTATTTTAAGTGTCTACTTTGGTCAAGAGATTGTGCTAAAACAATGTGCAATAAGTGGTCCTTTTATATGAAAAAATGCATACATGGATTGTTTTAAAGATGATTTTTTGAACAGTTTGAGGTTCACAGCAAAATTAAGATGAAGGTACAGAGATTCCCTTATACCCCCTGCCTCAAACATGCATAGCCTCCCTCATTATCAACAAGGCTTTTTAAAGCCCATTATGGAAGTCTCCCAAAGTTTGGAAAAGTACTAAAAATGCTTAAACATTTTCTTATATAAGTCAGACATCTGTGACAACATTTTTCTTTTACATGACTAGAAGACATATTTGCTACAGCATCACACTTTATAGCACAAAGGAAAAAAAGTCAATTTATAGTACCTTTCTCCTAAAATAGACACCACAGAATTACAACTCCTAATTTTCAAAACACAAATTCAATACTGACATTTGGGTAATTTGCTATTTGTACCCTTTATGGATTTCAGCCTAAAAGATGTTATCGATGCAAGTTACTGGCGGTCTAAGCACCATGTGTCACCACCCATCTAGTGTTAGCTGCCTTGTGACTCTCCAGCACTGTGCTATCACCTCTGTAAGCAGTGGGCACATTTCTGAAGTCAAATGTAAAAGCTGTGTTCATTACAAAGAGTTGAGGTCCTCACACCTGAAGTGTTGTGACCACAACTATTCAAGAACACCTGCTACTCAAAAGGCCAAAAGAACATACCAGGAAATGTGTTAATAAAAAACATGTCCTTTAAGTGCCAGCGGCCACCTATACTACAGTTTCCCCAGTGGAAGCCAACAGCTGCACATTCCTCCTTCCTTCCCCTCCCCCAGCAGCGCCCACCTAAGAATGCACCGTCCCTCCACCCGGGACCCCCACCTTCCGTTCTTGATTGCTTGACACTGCCTAGCACACTGGCCAAGAAGGGGAAGACGGGCAGCGGGGAGTGAGCGCAAGCCTCCACCCCCTCTAGCCCAGGCCCAGGCCCTCCCGCTAACCCCACCAATGTGTTGCGCTCAACAGAGCCCATGTCTGTTTCTCCTCGAAAACACAAAGGAAATCTCCAATGGACTTCATCTTCCCTTACAGAGTCAAAAGTAGGACAGAAGAAAGGAAAAGAAGGAAGGTGTTTCTCATTATTTCTAGAAGTACAAATCTGAAAAATTACCAAAAGACTGGCACACTCAATTTAGGGACAGAAAACTGGAAAGAAACTATAGGACAGAAAAAAAGGTGAGGGGGATAGGATATGTTCCTCAAATCTAGAGCAGAGCACATCAGAACTGTAGGTACAGTTCTCCTGAGAACCGTTTTGTGCACATGCTATGGGTTCTGGATCACTTACTTCTTTCTCTCCAGGACATGACGCATCCACAGGCTTCTGTGAGCTGCGCTGAGACCCTAACTACCACATACAACACTGCTCCGAGGAAAAGGGCTGCAGTTCAAACACAAGGTCAAGAACTGCCCTTACTGATGACTGACTCCATCCTCTGACTAATAGGTCCTATGATTCTCCTACATTTCTGGAACACTGCAGCTACCACCTGTATTTCTCCATCACTGTAAACACAACTCTGCAATCAGAAAGAAGATGGTCCACACTCACGTGAGGTCATCCAGGACTGACTGATACTCCTTCTCCGCGTCGGCGAGCTGGGCAGCACGGCTGACTTCATGGATGGCACTACCCACCTGCTGAAGCACCTCCTGCTCCAGCACATCCTGGTCATAGACGTCCACATCCAACCCCTGCAGTTCAAGCGCCTGCGCACTCAGCTCCACTGTCTGAATCTGACGTCTGCTGATGTGCAGCAGGGAAGGTACTCTCCTCAGAGCTTCCGGTGGACACCCCTTGGTGGAAGTGGGTGGTCCATGAGCAGAACAAGAGGGGAGGCTGTCCTCCATGCCCACACTGCCAGAATTTTCTTCTTTCACTGTCGCTTCTTCACTGTGACCAACATACTGACTCTGTAAATGTTGCTCCTGAGTTTGACTTGAGTGGGGGAGTTTCTCATTTGGCATCCTCTACAGACTATCTAAGAGGAAAACATGTTTTCGATGAGCCTTTTGGTTATATAGAATTGATAGTTATATAATTTCTTAAATATTTTATGAAGCCGACTGACTTCTCAAAAGTAATAATCAAGCAATAATCCTCTGACTACACATATTCAAGTTTCCAAGTATTACTTTTCTTAAAAGCTATCTATCTTCTTGAGTTCTGATAACAAATAAGAAAAACTGACAAAAAGAAAAGAAGAAGAAAAAAATGCAGTATTATCAACAAAGGACATTTGGGTAGCCAGCTAAGAAAGCTGGCTACCCAAATTCTGAGTGACACCCAGAGTCTTTTCCAAATCAACTGAAGTCATTTGACTACTGCTTTCTGAGTCAGCACCTTCACTGCATTATGGCACGAATGATTTACATATAATAGTGGCATGATCAACTGGAATGTACAGATTTAGATTTAGTAAGGAGAAAGCTTCTGTAGGCATCTGACACTAGAGACTCTGAGGTTGAACATTTACTCCAATGAACACAAACTCTGAACAAGAGATAATCATAGTACCACTCAAATTAGAATCTGAGAAAAATAAAAATATTCTCAAAAATAACTCCATTTCAATGCATGATGTAATTTCTCACCCAGCAGGTTGGCAAACACATAAAGCTGGATAATATCCAGTATAGACAATGACGATCCATCCTCACACAATAATCATGAGGATACAAATTAGTAAAGCTCTTTTGGGAGGCAATTTAGCAATATCTATTAAGATTTAAAATGCACAGGACTAGGTATTTATTCCAGAGAAATACTCAGATATGTACAAGCATGTTTATTATAGCACGTTTTTAACAGTTTAATGTAAGCATTAAGCACATTCAGTAGTAGGTATAAAAGTGAAAAAAGCCACATAGTATGAACACATTTATGTTGGAAAAAAATGCATATCTGCATCTGTGTGTATGGGATGCATTCAAAGTGGTCTATAGATAGTTGGGAAAGGGAAGGAGAAGGGGCAGGGAGGAAGAAAGAGGAACTTTCACATTTTACTCCAAGTAGTCAGGAACTCCTTGAATGAAAATGCATTCACTATATTGCCTGTATAACTCTATCTAATAAGTAGATTATAAAGCAATACAATGACGAACAGACAGCATTGCTGGTAATTTAACTAAGGTTGCTTTCAGCACTGAAATTTTATTTCTATGAAATGACAGCAAGTTCCCCCAATAAGCCCCACTCATTCCTCAATAAATAAAACGATCCCAATGGCCAAGTACTGGGATGTAGAGATGCCAGGGGCTTAGCATCATCCTGCCCCGAGAGGCCCATTCTCTAGTGGAGGAGAAGCATGTCAGTAACACCACAGCAGGGCAGGTCTGTAGAAGAGACACAGACAAGAGGCCACGTGGACACAGAGGAAGAGACAACACATTGGGTCTGGAGTTCAAGGAAGATGTACAAGCTAAGATTTGAACACCTGGCCAAGGGTCTGATACACAGGAGGTGCTCAATATGTGCTGAAAGGAAGTCAGGTTCAGAGAGTCTTAAATAACAAGTTTGATCTGGACAACTGAGTCACTGGTGAATTCAGTCACAAAAATGAAATCTCAGGAAGGAAACAGATAGGAGGCAGGGAGATGGACTGGTGGAGTGCTTATGAACCGCCAGTAATGCATCCAGGATCCAGAAGTGCAAAGCTGGGCTCAGGAGAAAGAGATGTGGATGCATCATCAGAACGGACAGCCCCAGGGACCCCAAGGCTAAGACAGGTACCAGAGATCCTCTCAGAGGGTAAGCAGCAGCTAACACTGGAAAGGTTAAATGTGAACAACAGAGAAAGGCAGCTCCTCCATTTGGGGGCCTTCTGATTATTTTCAGGAGAAAGGATTAGCTTAGTGCTCTATCATTAACTAGTCTCTATTTTCAACAGAGGGCAGGATTCCAGCTCAGAGCCTTAAAACTAGCTGGAATTTAACAATTGTTTTCATTTTTATTTGTATGTATGCAAGGATTTCTTATTCAGTTAAAGAAAGACATTAATTCAACCAAAAATATGAATAATACTGTAGTATAAAACCAAGTTAAAATAATGATGTTTGCAGAAAACTTCTAACAACATAAAAGGAAGAAGAGGGAGTGGTTAAAAGTGGGAAATGATATGACAAGCTCACATAAGAAAACTAGAAGGGTCCAGTGAATTTGGAAATTATCAGGTCACTGGTTATCTTAGTAAAAGAAACTTCAATGGAACAATAGAGACAAAAACCAGACAGTAATGAATTAAGTGAGCAGATGAAGAAACAGAGGCCACAAGTGGGTTGCCTACTTTTTAAGGAGCTTGCCTATGGAAGAGAGACAGCTGGAATGATAAAGTAATAATGAGTTGGGGGAGGAAAGTTAGGTCAAGAAAAACTATAGAATGCAATAGCTAGAGAGGGAGTAGGGAGATAACCTACAAGAATGTTGTATAAGAAACAAAAGCAGGAAAATATCAAGTATAGAAGTAAACAGAAGGCACAACACATCTTTCTCTGACTACGGCAAATTTGTAGGTACAGAGGAGAGGAGATGAGGTGGACCATACAGAAAACATCCTATAAGGTAGGAAGTTTGGGCATGTTCTGAATTGGGGGACAAACTTGAGAAGAACAAGATTCTGGAATAAATGTTCTATATAACAGAAATGCTGATGGGAAACATTGGTGACAGGTGTGGAGGGCCTACCTAAGGTTGCTCCCTCCAAAACCATAGACTGCCAACACTCCCCAAGACCGCAAAATTTCCTTCTTCAGTAATTAACAGTCCAGGAGAAATGTCATTTTTGGGGATTTTCAGAGTAGAAGTAGCAGAAGGACAAAGGGGAATGGGTAAAGATGCTAAGGAGGAGAACAGTTCAAGTTATTCACCTTGGGGGTCCATGCTGGGTAGATTTAAAAAATCAAGCCAGAAGGGACTAGAAGGGGGGGGGTGAGAGGGAAGGTAAACAAGGGAGGGAGAGTGGAAGGGAGGAAGGATGAAAAACAGAAAGGAAGACATCAAGAAGCCTCTTGGAGAGAGACTGTGGACCAAAGAACGTGTTTCCTGGAGTGAGAGCTGAAAACCAGGAGGTTCTCGTCAGAAGGTAAAGAGTTTCAGAAGTAAAATATTGGGTTGTCGGAGAAGTCATGACGCATTTTTGAAATGAAAAACATAGAAAAACTACATCATGACTTTTCCGACAACCCAATATATCATCCATTCAACAAATATTTATTGAGTCAATTATACCAGGCAATGTGCTAGGTTAACTGTTTCTGTCTCCAAAAGGTTAGTCTCTAAGACACTAAGAGATGTTATCTATGCTCAAGCAGTAAGTAGTTTGTCGTAATCAGAAGTGTCTGGACACTGATGGTAACCACTCTAAGCATCTTTTGTAATTGCAGAAGTCAAACGTGACTTGTATTCACCTTTTGTTATCGGTATATATTATTACAATTAATAGTTTTTTCCTTTCTTAAAATGTGTAAACACACACGTAACTGTGGTAACTGCTGTAAGAGGAAGTACAGGATTTTTTATGACAAAATAACAGAGGAACCTAACTGACACTGTGGAGGTATGTGTGATGTCAGGGACGCCTCACTGATTAAGCGATATCTGAGCCAGTATCTGAAGAATGAATAGGAGTTAATCAGACCTAAAGTGTAGTCAACGTTTTACAAAGAAACAATATGTGTTATTTCTAAGGCTGGTAGGAGCTGGTGTATTTGAGGAAAAGAAAGAAGGCTGGAGCAGTGACAACTTATTTTACATAAATATCTAAATTAAAGGACATAATAAGGACTCCATGCAATGTGTAAATCTCACAGAATATCTTCTAAAGCTCTGCAAGGCTTAAATCACCTGTAAAAACAATATCTTCATTGTCCTCCTCTTTGAGAACTGGGGTTTTCATGGGGTGACAGATTCTGGTTTGGAGGTTTGGTTGCATACATACATACCTGAAGGGGAGGGCCATAAGTGAAGAGGCGAGATTGGCAAGGACCAGATCACACACAGCCTGGGAAAACACAGCTTGGACTTGCAACCGTAATGTCTTTGAAGAGTCTTGAACACGGTAATAATGGTGGCATGGCCCAACTGATGTTTGTAAAACATCACTTGGGCTACCGTACGGATAATGATTTGGAGGAAACTGTGCAACAAGGAGATAATGGGAGAGATACCGGTGAAAAGCAGCGAGAATCAGGGTGACAGCAGTGACGATGGATGAATTCTACATGGGAAATCGTTACAGTCTTTGTATCCAGACTGCTCAATCTTCTTTCACATACTCCCACTTGACTATATCAATGCCAAAAAAGCCTGACTAGTACTTAGCCCGATTCTCTTTCAAGTAACAACTGGTATTTAATCGAGATCAAACGGGACCTAGGCGACACTGGGCGCGGGGCCTGACACAAAGCTAAGAAGGTGATGCTTCGTGGCTAAATCGCCGGCTTGGGACTGGGCCAAAGGTTGGGGAGCGTGAGCCGCATCGTCACTTCCGGCCGCCCGTAGGCCCGCACGAAAGGCGCGCACCGGGACTGAGAGCCGGCTCCCGACCGGCCGCACGAACGGGCTCTTTGACATGAAGCGGGGTCGCAGCAGCCTGGGGAGCCGGAGAGAGGCCCAGAAATCCCCCGCCCGATGTTCAACCCGGCCGCGCGAACACTCACCCCAGGGGTACGCGGCCGCCAGTACGGAAATGTAGACACTAGCGCCACAGCCAGCAGCTGAGAACTTCGGCTGGGAGAAGCCGCGGCGCCTGCGTCTTGGACCTGCCGTAAGCGCCACCCCGTAGACACCACAGCGCTACAGCCAGCAGCGAACTTCGACTGGGAACAGCCAGGACGCATGCGTGTCGGGCCCGCCGTAAGCGCCGCCCCCAACAGTGACCCGACGGGCTTGCGTGGGTGGGGCCTACGGCGCATGCGCTGGGCTGCTGGGTTGCTTTGGAAAGGTGGGAAGGCCACATGGTTTGACAGTAGGGTGCAGCCCCCCCCCCTTTCTTAAGCGGGGTGTTAGTGACATCTCGGATTTTGACCAGCTGTGTGATTTGGGACCATCACTTTACTTCTGGAGAAAATGCCTCTCTAGTAAGGCGGTTATAAGGATAAAAGACGTGTTTCCAGAAGGAGAGAGAGAGGTATTCGAGTTGGCTGTGGGAATGTAAATACTTAGAATTAACCGTGAAGTCCAAAGAGAGCGTAAGCTTAGGGAAGGGAGCTGGCTTGAGCACTGCACATATCAATAGCCACACGCAGGAGGCATTGTGACCTCCCTTGATCATCTGGCATGAAAACTTGGGAGAAGACTTATCTCTGTACCCCCTCTTCACTGCGCACACACACACCCTGAGCCGGGGCGGTGTGTGCATAGTGGGCTTTTATGAATGTCATGATTGCATTAGTGAGTCAATCATTTAATATCTGTCCTCAGATCAAAGAGGTACAGAGAATTTGAAGAAATAAAATGTCCACACATAGGTTCAGAACAAAGAAAGGAAATTAATATTCACCTGAGGAAGGAGTATCCCTTATGGGTGGGAGCTGTACCCAATGGCAGCTCTCAGCCAGGGATTCCAGCACTGGGAGAGGGTGAATGTTCTAGGCTCCAGAGGCAGCAAGGTCCTCTGGGAGTGACAGGGGAATGTGGAAAGGATCTCTGGGGCCTGGGTAGGGAAGTGCCTTACTCATTTTGAAAGCTGGAAGTGGACTTGGTAATGCTCAGTAACACCACCATATGCCTCCTGTTAGCGGCGCTGATATACATATATGCCTCCTGTTATCCCACGTAAAAATATGACTTGTTTTTGAAATGGGAATAGAGAATTCTCTTGGTCTCTTGAATAAAATATTGAGACTAGAAAAGCAGTTGGTGAGATACTAGTTTTCATGCTTAAATCTGAAAGCAGAATTTCTCCCAGATACATAATGGTTCCCAACCATTTTGAGATAGAGGTCCCCTTTTTAATTGCCATTTTGGAAACCCCTATGTATCAGAATTTTGACAGGAAGCAGGTGGTACACTCAAATTGGGCAGTTGAGTAGAATTAATAACTTTTACAAAGGTGTGGGCCAGTTTTAGGAAAACTCAGGATGGCACAGTACCCCTGAGGCTAGCATGAAGCAAGAAGCTGCTCCTATCTGTTGTGTGCTGGATTGATTCCCCAAAATTCAATGGAAATCCTAAACCCCAGGACCTCAGAATGTGACTGTATTTGGAGATAGGGTCTTTAAAGACCCTAAATACTTTTAATTAAATTAAAATGATATCATTAGGGTGGACCTTAATCCACTATCTCTGGTGCCCTTATAAGAAAGAGATTAGGACACAGATGCACACAGAAGGAAGACCATGTGAGGACACAGGGAGAAGACGGTCATCTACAAGCCAAGGAGAGGGATCAGAAGAAACCAACCCTACCAACACATTGATCTCAGATTTCTGGCCTCCACAGCTATAAGAATATAACTTTTACTGTTTAAGCCCCCAGTCTTTGTGATGTTATACTCTTAGAGCAGCCCTAGCACCATCCATGGCCCAGAAGGGGTAATGGGAAGACACAGGTTCAGAAGAGAACAGCTGAATGGAGAAGAACACTTGACCAGAGATATGCACCAACCGATGGCCACTCAGCAAGAGGGGGCTGGGAAAATAAATACCCTGATCTCAACATCCCCCATTATTTCATTGACTGGTGCCTTCCACTGGTCAAAACCAACTGAAAGCCAGAGAGCAAGAAAGCCTGTTGATTCCCATACAGATCAGCCTCTTCGGGCACAGGGCAGAGTAGAAAGAGATGGAGAGTGGATCTGGAACATCAAACAAAATATGCATCAGACCTCACACAATTGTAATTTTCCTTTTAGTATCCTTCTAATTTAGAAAAGGCATAATGTTGCAGTCACTATTAATAAAGCTTTTTAGATGAATTTGTATTTAGTTAATTAAAGAATCTACATACTTTCTCTAAGCCAAGTTTTTCCTGACCTCTTAGCCTCAGAGTACTAATAAGGTCACATTAGCAGCAATAACTCAGATTTTGATGATTCCTATGTCCACCTCAATACTCAGGGTCCCTCTTTTCATTCATGCCCTTATGAATGCCCTTGTAAAAAAGACCCCAAAGAGATCCCTTGCCCCTTCCCTCATGTGCGGACACAGTGAAAAGATGGTCACTTATGAACCAGGAAGTGGGCTCACCAGACACTGAATCTGCCAGCATCTTGATCTTGGACTTCTCAGCCTCCAGACTGTGTGAGATAAATTTCTGTTGTTTATAAGCCACCCAGTCTATGGTATTTTGTTATTAACCTAAACAGACAAAGACAGAATATAAGAAATGGTGGGATTTTTAGTAACTTATTTGTAATACTCATTTACAAACTTAGATTTCTGGATGTCAACCAAGACCTTTCCTTTCCTCCCTACATCCACTCAGTCCCCACGTTCTATCTGTTCTGCCTCTATCGCTTACACTCCGATCCCTTCGCCAACAGTTGCCTTGACTGTTACAACCAGTCTCCTAACTCCACTCTATTCCCTACTCATGCATTTGCAAACAGTTGCCAGAGGGATTTAAGATGCTGCTCATATCATGTCTCCTCTGCCTCAGTCAGACCCAACCCTGCAGTATAAAATCTAAGCTATATAAATGCTATCCAACCCATTTTATTATCTTGCCCAATCTGATGTTTCTGCATCATTTCTGTTCTCTCTCTAGATGCCAATGCCCAAGACTTAAGAAACTACCTACTATTCTATTGTTTGTGGTCTTACTACAGTCAGATCCTACTGTCTAATAAGCCTATTCTGTGCATCTCATCCCAACTATCTTAGTCATCTGGGGCATAACAAAAACCATACACTGGGTGACTTCAACAGTAGATATTTATGTTCTCACAGTTCTGGAGGGTGGGAAGTCTAAGATTAAGGTGCTGGCTGATTAAGTCTCGGTGAGGACTCTCTTCCTGACTTGCAGACAGCCACCTTCTCATTGTGTCTTCACATGGTGGAGAGAAAGTTCTGGTGTCTCTTCTTTCTCTTCTAAGGCCACCAGCTCCATCAGATTAGGACCTACACCATTCTTAAGACCTCATTTAACTTTAATTACCTCCTATAGGCCCTGTTTCCAATACAGTCACATTGAAGGTTAGGGCTTCAACTTATGAATTTGACAGAGTGGGGCAGGTAGTGGGACAATGACATAATTCAGTCCATAGCCAACTCTGCCTCCAGTGACCTCACATTGGTAACTTGAAATTGACTCTGTAAGAGCATTTACATACAGGAATGGACAAACTCTATAAACCCGGGCTTTTGGTGGCAGGGGGACAGTTAATCATTTCTCAGCATACCCCTACCTGTTATTCTCAGGCCTACATATGTGATTGTGCACATGGGTCTGCCTGGAATGCTCTCACCAATTCCAAACTCAGCCCAAACTTTCTTTTCTCTGAAACTTTCCTTGACCCTTTAAACAGAAGTAGGACCTTGCATCTCCCCCCACATCCCTAAACCAGTATTGCTAATATCTCTAGTATGACACTTATTGCTTTGGATTTTTATGTATTTTACTTAAGCACTTATAGAGCCTTATTGTGGGCTGGGCTTTGTCCTGAGTGCTTTACAGATATTAACTCATTTACATATGGCCAGAATTGTCCTTGTGCCTTTACTTTCTAGTTGGTATTCAAAGTAAGAAACTCTTCCCCATACCCTTCCAAAGCAGAAGGGCTAAGTTGACTGTCGCTTTTCAAAACTTCAGAGTAATGACAATGTGACAATTTGGTTCTCCATTCCCCATAAACATGGAAAAACTAATAAAGATACAGTAGAAATATATTGGAAGTTCATTGAATACTGTGCAAAACTGATAAATCTAAAAATAGAGGTAATAGCATATTATTTAAAATTATGTTGGCAACCATGAGAAAAATTAATGCTAAGAGGGAAAAAAATAAGTGCAGTAAATAAAAACATAAAGTAATAGACGCAATTAAGAAAAAATAAAATTGGATATCTTGTTAGAGAGTAACTGGGATGCCTCTCTAACAGATGTGAAGTAGTATCTGAATAGAAGACATTTCGGCTACAATCTGAATGACAGAAAGATCGCTATGTGGGGGATCGGCCAGAAGAAGATTCTCAACAGAAAACAGTGAAAAGAGGGTAAGGCAAGCACAACTTGGAAAATTTAAAGACTAGAAATTGGGTCACTGTGGCTGAAGCCAAGGTAGGCAGGAGCCAGATAGCTAGAATTTTATAAGATAGGCATGGGATTCAGATTTTATTCCAAGTGCAAATCAAATCCATGGTGGGTTTTAAGTAAAGAAGTGACATGATAAATTTATGTCTAAAAATATTTTGGCATAAGGATAGTTATATAGATCAATGGAACAGAATTGGGAGTCCAGAAATAAACCCACATATCTATAGTCAATTGATTTTCAACACGAGTGCCAAGGCAATTCAATTGGGAAAAATAGTCTCTTCAACAAATGGTACTGAAAAACTGGATATTCACATACAAAAGAATGATGCAGGAATCCACCTCACACCATAAACAAAAATTAACTCAAAGACCTAAATGTAAGAGCAAAAACTATAAAACTCCTAGAAGAAACCTTAGGAGTAAATCTTCATGACACTGCATTTGGCAATGGATTCTTAGATATGACACCAACAGCCCAGCAACAAAAGAAAAGATAGATCAATTGCACTTCATCAAAATTAAAATTTTTTCTTCATCAAAGAATGCTATCTGGAAAGTGAAAAGACAACTTATAGAATAGGAGAAAATATTTGCAAATCATATATCTGATAAAGGACTATTATCCAGAATAGATAAAGAATTCTTCCAACTGAACAACAAAAAGAACAACTAATTGAAAAGTAGGCAAAGGACTTGAATAAGCTTTTATCAAAAATTATACAAAAATGGCCAACAAGTACAAACATGAAAAGATGCTCAACATTTTTATTACTTACTGAAATGCAAATCAGAACCATAGTGCAAATCAGAACCACGTTGCACCCACTAGGATGGTTGTGATAAAAAAATGGGAAATAAGAAGTATTGGCAGGATGTAGAGAAATTGTAATGTAAAGTGCTGCAGTTGCTTGGAAAATAGTTTGGCAGTTCCTCAAAAATTAAACATAGAGTTACCATATGACTGAGCAATTCTACTCCTAGGTGTATATAACCAAGAGAATTGAAAGCAAAGGCCTACACAAAAAAGTTGAACATGAAGCTCATAGCAATATTATTTATAATAGCCAAAAGGTGGGAAAAATCCAAAAGCTCATCAAATGATGACTGGATAGACATAATGCTGTACAGCCATACAAAAGAAAATTATTCAGCTATAAAAAGAATGAAGGACTGATACATGCTACAAAATGGATGAAACTTGAAACCACCATGCTGTGTGAAAGAAGCCAGGCACAAAAAACCCACACATTTTATGATTCCATTTATATGAAATGTCCAGAAGAGGCAAATACATAGAAACAGAAAGTAGATAAATAGTTTCCAGGGCATGGGGGAAGGGGGAGGTAGGGAGTGACTGCCAACAAGTATGGGGTTTCTTTTGGAGGTGATGAAAACATTCTAGAATTAGTGGCAATGGTTGCACAATTTTGCAAATATCCTAAAAGCCACTGAATTTTACATTTTAAAAGTGAATTGTATGGTGTTTGAATTATATCTCAATAAAACAATTTTTTTAAAAACCTCTAGTGCCTTGGGGCTTGAACGTTGTTCCTCTTGTCAATCTTGTGACAGCTGCCATATAAATAAACTCAGTGGACATAAGATGTGTGAGTGAGGTCCTATACCCTCCAGCCCCAGCAGAGAACTGGGACTTCACTGACCTCGTGGATCAGTGGAGCTGACCCAGACCACAGAAATTACTTGCTAACCCAAACAGTTGTGAGAACTAATAAATATTAGTTGTATCAAGCACTGTGTACTGGAGTACTTTCTTATGTACTAAAAGTTAACTGATATGGAATGTGACCCAGATGGCTGTCACAACACTTAGTGCCAGAGATGTGGACGACAACAATATGGCTTCTTGAGGGCTCATGGTACCAAAGAGGACCTGCCATTTACACAAAGATACTGGCAGCCAGCCATCACTACACTGTCCCCCACAGAATGCAGAGAGCCCCGGGGACTCTGAAGTCTGCACAGATGGCCAGCACTCAAAGGAGATGTAGGAATGAGCAAGCAAAAGAGAGCCAGTCCGGCTTGCACCACAAGCAGGTGTTCCCTAAGCGGGACCATTCCTCATACCACCCCAGCACATGACCTGCGTGGGC